AGGTATGCAGGTGTTGTGGAGAGGCCGGCCATGGGGGCCACGAGTGCCCAAATTATATGGTGCCGGCCTACGATCCAAATCTTGAAGGAGTCCCCTACGACATCAATGCTATTCAAGGGTACGCCCCCCGGGCCTAAAATGATCCGTACTCGAACACCTACAATCCCGGGTGACGAAACCACCCAAATTTCTCATGGAGGGACCCGAAAGCCACCTATCCACCCCAACCGGCACCACAACAAGCCTATTCTCAACCTCAACAATATGCTCAACCGAACAACCGACGACCTTTCCAACCGAGACCCGAATTCCAAGGCTACCAACCGAGGCCCGAGTTTCAAGGATATCCACAAGGGCGTGGAGGCTTCATTCCGAGGCAACCTTTGCCACCTCCACCCGAGCCCGAGAAGAATGCTAACGGAGAATCCTCGGAGACCCAGATCGAAAGTCTAGAGAAGTGTCTTCAATCGTTAGCCTCTACCGTCTCTACGTTGCACGACACCGTCAAAGGAGTGCCCTCGATTCAAGCCTCTATCAAATGACTCGAGAATCAAATGGGGCAACTCGGAACTTCTATCGGGGAGATTCAAAGGGAAAAGATGAAAGACAAGCTCCCGAGCCAACCCGAGCACGTCAATGCAATCACGGTTTTGAGGAGTGGTAAGAAAGTCGATAATCATGTGGAGATGCCCGACAAAAGATGGGGTTGTTGAAGTTGTTGTTGATGAGGATGATGATGAGTTGGGTGAGAAAGTTGATGTTTCTAAAGGGAAAGCCGTTATTGAGGAAGAAATCGAGAAGGTGAACCCCAAGAAGGATGCCCGTGAGGCTTTGCATAAGGCGGATGCACCATACCGACCACCGGTCCCTTTCCCGAGCCATTTGAAAGATACAAAGAAGGAGCGTCAAAAACGTGCCGGCGTATGTTCAATTTTTCAAGGACTTAGCTTCGAAAAAGAGGAGGTTCGTGGATAATGAGAAGGTGATAATTTCCGAGGTAGCCTCGACTACCATACCTCGGAAAGAATGTGACCCGGGAGCCTTTGTCATGAAGATTGCATTCGGGAATGGAAAGACTACAATCGGGATGCTAGACTTGGGAGCCAGTATAAACCTCATGCCCTACTCGGTCTACAAGCAATTAGGTTTGCAAGGGCTTAAGCCGACTCGGATGAGCCTCCAATTGGCGGACCGTACTTTACGGGAACCGAAGGGCATTATTGAAGATGTGTTGGTCAAAGTGGGCTCGATTGTTGTGCCGGTTGATTTCGTAGTCCTTGACGTTGGAGATGTCCCGAATACCGGGAAGGAGCACACAATTTTGCTTGGTCGACCCTTTATGGCAACGACCAACACCATTATCGACGTCAAGGAGCGACGAGTCACTCTCTCGGCTCATGGAGAGATTGCTACTTTCACGATAAACAATGCCCGGGAAGCTCCACCCAAAGTCGGCCAATGCTCGTTTGTGGAGGACTTCGACAATGAGGTATATCCTAACCCTAATTCTAAATTTTCTAATGGAAATGGTTTTGTAGGTAAAAATGATGTGTTGGAGTTAAAAAAGGATGTTGGAAAGGGAAGCGGTTCGAAACCGAGAAAGAAGGGGTCGAAAATTAAGCCCAAGGGTAATGAGACAAAACCGGGAGACAACCCACCGAGCTTGAAGGATGATGCGAGCACGAGAGTGTAGAAATTCACGAAGACCGGGATGAGATTTGAGAGGGAGGATGGTTAGAAGAAGAAGCCTCCGGTGTCTCCGAGAAGTAAGTGGGCAAATGTGTTCCTTGACGAGCTCGAAAATGAGAATGAAGGTGCTCGTCGAGCTATGCCTGGTTGATCGATGAATGGATGGGAAAGTTGAGCTCACGACTATAAACCGAGCGTTTCGTGGGAGGCAACCCACGTTTTTGTTTTTATTTTTCTTTTCTTTTCCTTTTTATTTAAAAAAAAACCGAGAGCTTGTGCCGACCTACTCGGCAGTACCTACTTGTTAGAGCCGAGCCAAAAAAAATTGAGCGAAATCGAGTATTTATGTGTTTTTGAGTGAAGTTGAAAATTTGGACGAAAATATTCGAAATACGTCTAAGTATGGAAGGACAACCCGGCAACAGCTCGCGCGCTCGCACCTCGCCCCGCGGCCTCGCGCTGCACGCTCGTGATGAGGATCGTGCGTTTCGACTGCCGATAAGCCGCTAACCCGCGCCTTGAATCGCCGATAGTGTTCTTCGAGCCACAACAGCGCCTCTAAGAATGAATAAAAATGCAATAGTATTCTGGTGAAAAGACTAAAGCAAAGTTGGAAGAACAATGTTCTAGATTTCTATTAACTTCTTGGATGATTCAAAATAACA